AATGTTCTCGGCCATAGCTAGTTTTTCCGTTGAGGCCCTGCCAGCCGTGCCCAGCATGGTGCCAGCTGCTGAGGCTGGGAAGGATCCCTGCGGGGTCGAGCTGCCACCCTGCCCCGGCAAGTGGGGGACTTGCCCCACCGAGGTGCCCCTCATCGCGGTGCCAGTGCTGCCCACCTCCCTGCAGCCGCCGGCAGAGCAGCCCAGCCGGGTGGTGCCCCGGGGGAGCTGCCTGATCCACAACTGGCAGGAGGAGGTAACTCCCCACCACAGCCTGGGGGGCCAGCAGGGGAAATGTCCCTCAAAACCCGCCCCACCACGTCCCACATGCTGATCCCCTGAAGCCCCTGCTCCTAGGCAGCCCCCTCTCTTTAAATAGCTGCCCTTGGCCAAGCTGGGGCTCCCTGGACGACCTTGAGCCCAGCGGGATGGAAAGGGGATGAAATTCAATAGCACAAAAGGCACTGGCAGGCATGTGGGGAGCGACAGGGGGGCTTTGGGAGGAGAGACGGGAGCTCGCTGCTGGGTTGGCAGGAGCTGATTGTCATAGCCCATTGCAGGGACATGGGCCAAGCCATGCCACAGCCTGGAGACCCCACAGTTTGTTCAAGTGCCTTCAGAGCGCTTGGCCAGCCATAGGGGCACCCTGGGCACCCGGGGGGTCGGGATGGCTGTACGAGGCTGGCTGACCCCTGGCAGGCAGGAGAGGTCAGCCCTGCCTAAGTCACAGGTGTCCCCACTCCAGCTTTCCTGGGGAGCTGGCTGGAAGGACCGTTCGCCCTTTTTGCAGCTCATGCCTTTGGGGCTGCTCCCAGGGCTTGTGTCAGGCACCTGCCTGTGTGGCATGACCTTAGGTCTGAGGCAGTGCCCCCAACTTATGGACTCTCAGCAGGAGGGGGTGACTTACCCCCACCTCCCAACATTGCCCAGAGCTCCATGGGACTATCAAAAGCCTAAAAGCTGGAAGCGGGCACAGGGCACTGCAGGGTGGGCTCCTGCCCCCTTCCCGCAGCACCCGCCATCCATCCCCAGAGAGCCACGAACCACCTGGACACCATGCCAGGGCAGGAGCCAGGCAGCGAGGGCTTCACCTACCGGCACGGCCACCACGGGCTGCTGGTCCACCAGCTCGTCTCCCGGCCCACTGACAGCACCACCACAAAGGACACCTACCGCCCACCACACAGGGCCCTGCTGCTGGGGCGAGGTGAGGCTGAGGACCCCCACACACACCCGAGTGTGCCCCCCAAAAAGGCAGTGAAGGGATCTTAGCTGCGGGGCTGATGGCACCTTCCCCCTGCAGGGCAGCGGGAGGCCATGCTGGAGTCCATGCTCTACCAGAAATACAGGCAAGCCTGCACCCCTGCTTGCCACCCACCCCTGGAGCCATGCCCTGGAGAAGGGAACCTGCCCAGGGTGAGGGGACACCCCAGAGCTGAGGGGTGTGGGGTCTGCTCTGCCGGTAGGAAGGAGATGCTGGAGGAGATCCATCCCCGGCAGATGCCCATGGAGTCGGTCTCCACCACCCTCCGGGATTACCACGTCGGGGACTGCCAGTTCACACCACTGCCTGCCACCCAGGTACAGGCAGGGGTGAGCCCCCGCTCAGCTCACTGCAGCCCCTAGGGAGCCCACAAGGCTCCTGTGTGTCCCCCAGGCATGCTGTCCCCCCTGCCCACTGTCACATCGCTTCCACCTGCAGCCCCACAACTACTGCACGGAGCAGCCCTGCAGCTTCTGGCTGGAGCAAGCCCGCAGCCTGCCTGTAAGCCCCCCAGCACCCTGCCCTGCCAGCACCTGGGGCGACTCAGTGGCTTCTGACAGGGACCTCTTCGCTTCCCTCCCTTCCAGGGTGTCACCAGCATCTGCAGCGGGGACAGTCCCTTTCGGAGGAACGCAGCCTTCTCCACTCCCATCACTGAGTACCTAGAGCCGCCCCTGCCCTGTGCACCCCTCACCAGCTGGCTCCAGCCCCACAAGAAATAAAAAGCAGGGGGGCACAGGTGATCCCAGTGTCATTGCCACCCCAGGGTTGTCCTCAGGCTGGGCACTGGGAGGGGGAGCACCACGTCCCTGGCATCCCCTTCCCAGTAGAGCCATGCAGCGAAGGCCTGGGGACAGCCTCCAGCCCTTTCTGCAAGTCACTGTTGCCCCAGAACACGTTATGGCCCCAAGCCTCCCTCCTTGGGCACGGAGGGAGACCCCCTGGCACAGCCCTGTCCCCCGGGACCGTACCCTCTCCCGGCGCCCCAAGGCGGGTGACACGCGGCCCCCGTTCCCGTCCCCAAGCACAGGTGGGTTCCAGTAAGAGGCGGCGGCAGCGCGGCCAGAGCATGAGCTCAGAGGAACGCACTGCAGCCCTCACGCCAAAGCAAACCCCGCCGCTGCGGCCCTGCCTTCCCAGCACTGTCCCGAACCATCGCCAGCCGCCGCCACAGCTGCCCTGCACCGGCTGGCTCCCCGTGCCTGGAGCCCCAGCCCACGCCGCAGCCGGACCCCTGGGGTAAGATGCTCTGGCATGGTCAGGCATCCCCAGCCCAGGCTGAGCTCCATATTGGGGTCCCCCCCCTCAGGCCCCCACCCTGCTTGGCACTCTAGGGCAGAGCAAAGCAGAGGTCAGGGGACAGAGGGTTTGGGGAAGTTTGTATTTCAACAAAATAGTTTGCAGCGATTCCTATATTTACACCTGGGGGGGGGGGTATTTACATGACCCGGCGGGGCTATATACAGGGGAGGGGGAGACTGGGGAGGTGGGGAGCCGCGGCATTGAAGCCTGTCCTGGCCAAGGGGTCAGTCCTGGCAGGAGCCCCCATTTCCCACCCCCCGGGGAGGGGGTGACACGGGCACAACTTCTGCCGGGGGCCAGGTACTGAAAAGAGACGGCAAAGTGCCCTGCGGGGCAGCCAGGCCCCGGGAGCGGCTCAGAGCCAGCTGAGCCGTGGGGGAGAGGGCAGGGGCGGCAGGACCCCAGAGGGTGGGGAGGGATAGGGGGTCTCCCCCGGTCTGGATCTGGGACGGTTCCCCCCCTCCAGCAGAGGCTGTGGGGGGAGGTGGGCTTTGCTGGTGCCGATGGAGGGGGGGCAGGCGGTGCCGTGGCCGCTAGCCCCCCCGTGCCCAAGCCCTGCTGAAGCAGAGGGGCTGCGGTGGTGGTGGTGGTGAGCTATGGTGATGGGAGGGTGCCGGTGCATCCCGAGGGGGCCAAGCGCTGGGAAGCATGGTGGCCCCATCGGGGTTAGGGGCTCTGCCACTGCCCCCGGGCTCAGATGACTTTGGGGTCTTTCCTCTCGCCCAGCAGCCAGTACGTCCGCATCTTCCCCTTGCCCTGGGGGGCGGAGGGGGGCAGTGAGACCCTCCCTGTCCCCAGCACCGCTCCTTGGGTGCTGTCCCCAGCACCAAGGTGGACAAGGGAGCCCAGCCCCAACTCACCCACCTATCGCATGCCCCTGCGGCAGAAAGGGCTGGCACCCCACCGAAGCCCCCGCACCCTCACCTTCATCTCCACGTCCCCGCGCAGCTCCAGCTCAAAGCAGCCAAACTCATCCAGGACTTCCTTGGTGGTGGACGAGACGTGGATCTTCAGGGCTGGGTGGCACAGAGGGGCAAAAGGGACATGGCTGGGTCCGGGATTGTGGCACGACTCGTGGCACTCGACCCCGGCTGCCAGCCCCATGGCTCACCCTGGCCATTGGACTCCATGCGGGATGCGGTGTTCACCGTGTCCCCGAAGAGGCAGTACCGTGGCATCTTCAGACCCACAACTCCAGCGCACACAGGACCTGCAGGCACAGAGATGCCCGGGGCTGCTGCAGGACGGGCAGGCGGGCGAGCATCCCCCAGCCGCAGCACCAGCCGGCATGGGGGCTCACCAGTGTGTATGCCGATGCGCAGGCGGAGCTGGTCGTTGGGCCGGTGCCGGATCCTGAAGGTTTTGACTGCCTCGAGCAGGGCCAGGGCCATGCGGACAATCTCGCGGGCGTGCAGCTTCCCGTTGCGCACCGGCAGCCCCGACACCACCATGTAGGCATCCCCAATGGTCTCCACCTGTGGGGTCAGGGAGAGTGGGTACACCCCAGGCTCCCTACTGCCTGCCTCACTTCAGGGGGCTGCACTTGCTCACCCTCCCCTCACCTTGTACACGTCAAAGTTGTCGATGATGGCATCGAAGCAAGTGTAGAGATCGTTCAGCAGCGTCACGACCTGGATGGAGGAAGGGTGCGTGTGAGGCTGGGAGCAGACATGTCTCCCCAGCCCCACGGATGGCACTGCCAGGGTGTAAGCCACTCCGCCAGCCCTGCAGGGGGGCTGTCCCCCAAGCCCTGCTCTCACCTGCATGGGGGTGCTCTCCGCCGAGAGGGCGGTGAAGCCCACGATGTCGCTGAAGTAGATGGTGACGCTGTCGAAAGCCTCGGCCCGCACCGTCTCCCCGCGCTTCAGCTGCTCCGCTACAGAGCTGGTGAGGACGGGGAGGATGTTGGTGGGCTCCCACCTAAAACCCCCTGTTCCCCCTGCACCCCTTGCCCTACACCAGCATGGAGAGCCGGCAAGGGACCCCATGCTTGCATGGCAGTGGGTGCACGCTGACCCCATGCCAACCCCCAGACCCACACGCTCCCATCTCTGCCCCCTCTCACTGAGGCAGAATCTGGTAGAGGAGGTTCTCCGCCTTGCGCTTCTCCTCCAGGTAGGCCTGCGTCCGCTCCTCCACCAGCTTCTCCAGGTTGTTGGCGTACTGCTCCATGCGTGACAGCAGGTTGTCCAGGATGCTGGTGCTGCCCTCCCTGCCGGGGTGCAGGCAGCTGTCCCCGCGGGAACAGGTACCCCCCAACCACTGTCCCCGCTCCCACCCAGGGCCACCTTCCCCGCTCGCCAGCCACCCACTTGTTGAATCTACGGATGAAGATCTTGATCTGGCTGAAGTCGGGGCGCTCAGCTGGCTCCTGCGCCCAGCAGCGCTCCATCAGCACTGCCAGCTCCTCACTGTGCACCCCGATGTCGATGGAGGGGCGGAAGAAGGGCTTCTGGCTGTTACGCACCTTCTGCACAATCTCTGCCGGGGGGTGGCTGCCGGTGAGTACCGGACCTCCCCAGTGGGGATGGGACCACCCCACACTTGCCCCTCACACTCACCTTTGGGGCTCAGGTCCATGCCCTCGATATAGAAGGGGCCATTGCGCAGGGCGACCTCCTGCACGATGATGCCGAAGCTGTAAACATCAGCTTTCTGCATGCCTGGGGTGGGCAGGCGCCCCTTCTGCAGCAGCTCCGGGGCTGTCCACAGCTTCTCTGGTGGGACACGGCCATGGGGTGGTGAGGCAGGGCCACCCCGTCCCCCTAGTCCCCCAGTCCCCGGCAGTGGACACTCACTGGCATAAAGGGCATGCGTGTCCTCGCCATCACAGGGTGAGCGGAAGCTGGCCAGCCCATAGTCTGTGATCTTCAGCACGAAGCGGCTGTCCCCCACGCAGTTGGATGACTTGAGGCTGCCGTGGTGGCCGATGATGCTGTTGTGCAGAAAGGCCATTCCCTGGGACAGACGGATGCAGTGAAGCCGGCACCCGTCAGGCACCTCCCCCAGCCCTTCATGCCCCTCGCTTGGGTACCTTGACAATGTCGTTGATGAGGGAGTAGCGAAACATCCAGTCCAGGTTGATGCTCTCGTTCTCCAGGACATCCTGGGACAGCACATTGAGTGGACCCCGCCAAGCACCCCGGGGATGGTGGCACCAGCACCAGCCTCACCAAGCACCCAGCTGCGGGGG